AGTCTCTCATACAAAAATTTATACATACATTGTTATGTGACCCTAACTGCTCTCCCCATACTGTGACAGCACACTCCTTTCCACCCCTATTTCCCCTGTCCATTCAACCAGCTTCTAACCCTCTCTACCTTCTCATCTCACCTCCAGACAGAAGCTGCCCATTTAGTCTCATGTGTCTACCTGAGCTAAGAAGCACACTCTTAATGAGTATCATTTTACTAGAATGTGAGTTCTGCACCCTACCTTTGTGCTGCTCCATCAGGGACTTTTATCTGTTGTGTTCCCTGTCAGGGTGGTAATTGGTGGTAGCCGGGCATCATCTAGTTTTTCTGGTCTCCATCTAATTCTTCTGGTCTCAGGCTGGTGAAGTCTCTGGTCTATGTGGCCTTTTCTGTCTCTTGGGCCAAGACTTTCCTTGTGTCTTTGGTGTTGTTCATTCTCCTTTACTCCAGGTAGTTGGGACCAATTGATGCATCTTAGATAGCTGCTTGCTAGCTTTTAAGACCCCAGATGCCACTCACCAAAGTAGGATGCAGAACATTTTCTTAATAAACTTTATTATGCGAGTTGACCCAGATGTCCCCCAAAAGCAAGGTTCCCAAACCCCTGCCCCTGCTACTCTGTCCCTCGAAGTGTTTGATTGTATTCAGGAAACTTCTTAGCTTTGGTTTAGTCCAGTTGTGCTGACTTCCCCCATAGTGTGTGCTGTCCTTCCCTTCACCTAAGATAATTCTTGTCTACTGTCTAGTTAGTGAATAACTCTCACCTTCCCTCCCCAACCTCGTAATCATCAAAGAATGTTTTCTTCTGTGTTTAAACCTTTTCTTGAGTTCTTATAATAGTGGTCTTATGCAATATTTGTCCTTCTGTGACTGACTAAATTCACTCAGCATAATGCCCTCCAGATTCCTCCACGTTATGTTTCACAGCTTCATTGTTGTTCTTTATTGTTGCATAGTATTCCACTGTGCGAATATACCATAATTTGTTTATCCATTCATCTGTTGATGGACACCTAGGTTGTTTCCATCTGTTTGCTATTGTGAATAGTGCTGCAGTGAACATGGGTGTGCATATATCTGTTTGTGTGACAGCTCTTAATTTCTCTAGGATATATTCCAAGGAGCAGGATTGCTGGATCATGTGGTACTTCTATTTCTAGCTTTTGAAGGAAGCACCAAGTCGATTTCCAAAGTGGTTGTACCATTTTACTTTCACACCAACAGTGTGTAAGTGTTCCAGTCTCTCCACAACCTGTCCAGCATTTATTATTTTGTGTTTTTTGGATTAATGCTAGCCTTTTTGGAGTGAGATGGTATTACTGTTGAGAAGTCTTAATTGTGAGGGATTTTTCTTTTTTATGTTTTTGAGATATTTTTTGTTTTGGTGTTCAGTGGTTTCACTATAATGTTTCAAGGAATGGACTTATTTTTATTTATCCTGTTTGATATTAACTGTGCTTCCTGAATCTGAATATTTATGTCTCTAATCAGTTCTGGTGGCACAGTAGTTAAAGTGTTTGGCTGCTAACTGAAAGGTTGGCGGTTCGAACCCACCAGGGGCTCTGCAGGAGAAAGATGTGTCAATGTGCTTCCATAATGATTTACAGCCTTGGAAACCCTATTGGGCAGTTCTACTCTGTTCTGTAGGGTTGCTGTGAGTCGGAATCAGCTCGACAGCAATGGGTTTTAATCGATCCTGGAAAGTTGTCAGCCTTTATCTCTTCAGCTATTGCCTTTCCCTATTCTCTTTGCTGTCTCTCTCTCTGGAACTCCAGTTAGATGTGGTTAGATTGCAGTGATTCTCAACTTGTTCCCCCAGAGGACATTTGGTAATGTCTAGAGATGTTTTTTAGGAGCCCTGGCATCGTAGTGGCTAAGAGCTCAGGCTGCTAACCAAAAGGTCAGCAGTTTGAATCCACCATCTGCTCCTTGGAAACCCTATGGGGCAGCTCTGTTCTGTCCTGTAGGGTCGTTATGAGTCGGAATCAACTTGATGGCAACAGGTTTTAATCAGTTCTGGAAAGTTCTCGGCCTTTATCCCTTCAGCTATTGCCTTTCCCTATTGCCTGTTTTTTTTGGTTTGGAGACATTTTTGGTTGTCACAATGCTGAGGCAGAGGGGGCTGGGAGGAAGGAGGAGATGCCACTGGTGTCTAGTTGTCAGAGAGCAAGGATGGTGCTAAATATTCTATAATGCACAGACAGCTCCCACAACAAAGAATTCTCCAGCCCAAAATGTCAATAGTGCTTAGGTTGAGAAACTCTGGCTTAGAACTTATCATGTAGTCATCCTTGTCTTTCAGTCTCTCTCTTATATTTTCTTTCTTTCGATTCTCTGGTGCATTCTGGGTAATTTCTTCAGGTCTCTGTTCCAGTCTATTTGTTGTCTCTGAAGCTATGATTAAGTTGCTGTTTAATCCAATCCATTTTTTTCCTCCTTTATATTTTGAAAAATTTGAAAACTACAAAAGACTTGAAAGAATAGTAGGATGAGCCCCACTATACCTACACCTAGATTCACCAGTTATAAATATTTTATGACGTTTGCTTTTTTTCTATTTTATTTCTGACCCATTAGAAAGTAAGTTGCAGGGACATCCTCCTACATGACCAGAATACCATCATCATACCCAATAAGTTTAATGTTGAAATGGTATTATCTAATCCATATTTTATGTTAAATTTCTACAGGTTATTTTAGTAATATATTTTAGCTTTTATATATATATATTTTAAATTTAGGATATAATCAAAGATCAAACATTGCATTTCATTGTTGTGTCTTTTTAATCTCTTTTAATCTAGAACAGTTATGCCCTCCAGCATAGTTTTGTTTTGTTTTATGGCATTGACATTTTTGAATAGTCCAGGCCAGCTGTTTTGTAGAATGTCCTACAGTCTGGATTTGTCTGTTTGTTTCCTTGTGAAATGTGGAACATTCAGCAAGGATACTGCATAGGTGATGTTTCTGTTGTATCATAGCTGGAGGCAAATAATGTCAGTTTTTTCCCTTATTGATGATGCTAAGTTCCGTCATGAAGGGAACATTTCCCCTTTATAATTAATAAGTTCTGAGAAGTGACAGTTTTGAAATATCGTGACTATCCTGTTTCCCAATAACCTTTTAACCTATGGTTGTAGCATTGATTGGTGATCATTACCTTATCAGTTATCACATTGGTGGTTGCAAAACGGTGACTTTCTAATTCTGTAATTTCTTCTACATTTATTAGCTTGCATTTTTTAAAAGAGGAAACATCCTCCTCTAAAGTTCCTTTTTTTTTAGAATCTGGCCATTTTTTGATAGCCTCTTATTCCTTGTTCACGAAACAGTTTTTTTTTTCCTAACGTTTATTTGTATTCTGTATGTGCTTCTGAACTGGTGTTTGGCTGATCAAATCTGAGAGGCTCCATCATTTCCTGATGTCAGGGCTGAGTGTCTTCCGAGATTTGTGACGAGCCCTGCTGGGCTACCACCCCAGGACCCTTGATGTGAATTTTGCTTTGTGACATTTGCTTTTTTTTCTGTTTTATAAAATCCAACCCTAAATCTCTGTGAGACCATGTCTGGGGAGACCTTTTTTCTCACCCAGCACCAAGACTGACAGGTGCATGCTTTGTACCCCGGGTAGTTTTTTTATGGCCCTCCTTGTCTACTGTTGGGTGGCCTTTCAAGGATCCAGTTTTTATTCAGAGGCTTCTGTCTTAACACGTCGCCTTACAGGGATTTCTGGCACCCACAAACACCCTCCGGACTTTTAAGGCAATAGTAGATTACTGCTGTGGATTTCAGCTTCCTCTTTATTTTGAACCCTTAGGGGTTTCCTTTACTTTCTCTTTTTATTAAAGTGTAAGATTTATACAGAAAAGTGCACAAATCATGAGTGTATAGCTTGCTGAACCCGTGTAATCGGCACGCAGATTATACTTCAGTCATTGCCCACTTCTCCCCAAAATAACCAGTATTCTGAATTAGGACTGTTGATGGTTTTGCCTATTTTTGAGCTTTATATAAATGGAATCATATGGGATGTACTCTCGTATATGGCTTCTTTCACTCAGCATTATGTTTGTGAGGGTTATCCATGTTGTTGTGTTAGTTGTTTGTTCATTCTCACTGCTGTGTAGTATTCCACTGTGTGGATATATGCAACTCTGTGTTTTGAAGGGTGAGTGTTCCATTTTATCCAGCATTTCTAGGTGTTTTGTAAGAGGAGGGATTTTCAATGGCTCTAGTGTACCATATTGCTAGAAGCATAATCCTTCATTCCCTTTGTAATATTGTATATTTTCCTCCCAGGAGATATGAGAAGTTCTCAATACTTAACAAGTTTGTCCAGTCCCTTTTGAGTTGTATGAAGGCATGTAGTAACCCTTCTGCTTTATAGTGCGCTGATGGGCCCCAAAGTTTAGGAAGCTTAACTGAATGACAGGCAGAAATACTGTGCTTATTTTAGAGTCATAAATCCATGGTTCCTATGAATGTCCCTCTCATGAGGACATCACACTGTTAATAATGGGGCTTTAGGTTTGAGTTTTAGAAAAAGGAGATGTTCAGATGAGATTGAAATAGAGTAGATCTCCGCAAACCTTCTTTTAGCAACGATATATTTTTTTTTGTGCCACTTGGCACTCACTTGGTGGTTGAGCAGGCTTTGGAGATGTGAGTTTGCATTCTGGCTCTGCTTCTTGCTGTTTGACCTTGTGTGAATTGGTAACTTCTGAGTTTCAGGTTCTTAATCTGTAAAATACAAACTTAAATTATTTATCATATTTTAATAGAAGTATATTGATCATCTCTTCTATATTAAGTAGAGGAAGGGGAGGATGTCACTGAATCAGATATGGTCCCTATCTTCAAAGTTCACAATTAAATGTGGGAAATTGGGACCTGTAGTGATATAGGGAAGAGAAAGAGGAGTGACTAGGGAGGTAGCTGAATTAGGATAGAAAACGAGAGTAGCCAGCCTGTGGCTCCCAGATGGGAGTCCTGGTGTTAGAGGCCTGCTCCTCTCATTTTGACCTATCTTTTCCAGAGATTTCGCTGTTGCTCTTAGAATACCAGACAATAACAGTTTTATAGTTATAAGCCTATGGGTCACACACTCAGATGCCTGATCCAACAGGCAACACAAATGAGTGCAGTGGCTGAGGCACACAGAGTAGTGAGGACTATGGGGACTGGGTAGCACACCTGCCCTCACTGGCAGAGGCAGCTGCTATTATGTGGTCATTAGGGCCTGTTGTGGCCAGTCTTCTGGTTTTTCAAGAGAAGCTGAATAATAGCTGGAATTTTATGTGAAATTTCCCAGTATTTAAAAACTGGCAACAAATTTAGGCTAAAAGCACATATGAGACTACACAGACTGACACAAATAAGTCTGTGGACAACCACCTTGCTACTTGTGATCTAATTCAATAATTTCATTTGAAGAAATCTGGCGTCCAAGATTTGATGTGTGCCCAGTGTCACACTGAAAATTAGTGACTAAAACCCAGTTTCCTCTCCTTAGGCCAGTGGTGTTTGCGCTATTGCTATATGCTGATTCTTTAGCAGATTCTGCTGTCTCAAAACTGTGAACAAAAGAGCATTGAAAAGAAAATCTAAGAGGAACTTTTACTGGGTCAATATTAAAACACTGTCTCCACTACTCAGTCAGTTGGCATAATATAGTTTACAAACTTCATGTTCTCCATCCTACTGAAATGAGTAGTGTTTGGAGTCTTAAAAGCTTGCAAGCAGCCATCTAAGATACATCTATTGGTCTCTACTCATCAGGAGCAAAAGAGTAAGAAGGAAACCAAAGTCTCAGAGAAGGAACTCATCTACAGAGCTAATAGCCTACGCAAGCTAAAGCCTCATTCGCTCTGAGACCAGAAGAACTAGATGGTGCCCAGCTACCGCTACCAACCATTCTGATCAGGGCCGCAATAGATGGACCCTGATAGAAAGGGAGAAAAATGCAGAACAGAAGTCATATTCTTAAGAAGTCCAGACTTTACTGGACCAGTTGAGACCAGAGGACTCCCTGAGACTATCACCCTGAGATACTCTTTAAATCTTCAACTGAAAGTATCCCGAGATCACCTTTTAGTGAAATAACAGCGTGGCACACGCAAAGTAAAGGATATTACCCGTGAGTACGGTGCTCTAGGAGCCCTGGTGGCACGGTGGTTAAAGTGCTCAGCTACTAACTGAAAGGTCAGCAGTTCAAACAAGCCGCTCTGCAGGAGAAAGATGTGGCAGTCTGCTTCCATAAAGATTTACAGCCTTAGAAACCCTATAGGGCACTTATGCTCTGTCACATACGGTCGCTATGAGTTGGAATCGATTTGATGGTAGTGGGTTTGGTTTTCAGACAGTGCTCTACTAAAAAAACCATCTATATGAAACCAAAAGGTCAATATTACTCTAAAACAGATGAGAAGATAAAGGGGCAGGGAAATTAGAGTACTAGAAAGGGATCAACCAGAACACAATTTAAGAGAACGTTGACACTTTGTGAAAAATGTAACTAGTGTCACTGAACAGTTTGTAAAGAAATTGTCAAATGGAAACAATTTACTGTGTAAATTTTCTCCAAAATCACAATAAAATATTATTCAAAACAAAACACTGTCTCCAGAGTTTCACTGTTATTCTTTAGTAGCAAGCTTGTTTTTTTCCTGCCCTTTGCTTTTTTCCTTAGCCCATACACCTTGGGAACTGACCTTACTCACCCTCTTGTTTCAGAGTTAAGCAAAGATGAAAGTGGCATTAAAAGGTCATGGCATTTCCCAGTCTTGTCCCACCTTTAAAACATTTGTTTTTCATACTTGATGTTTGACCATACATCTGTTAAGTCTTTGGTTTCTTTTAAGCATCTGCCAGCTGTAGTTATCGTAACAAAAATCAGTTTGTAGTTTACTGTAGGACATGCTCAACTGTGACTTGTTAAGACCAGCTCATAGCTTCATGGTCCTATCTAATATATCATTCTTCACTATTTTCGGATTGCTCAACAAAAAAGGAAAATCAAGTAATTCATTCCTTCATTTTTGATTTTTTATGGGTTGTAGATTGGTGTTTTCCTGTATTGGCAAAAACAAAAAGCAGTATCTCATAGATCCAGTAGTGTTGTTCTGAGCAATTAGGTCATCACCCTTTTTGGATATTGAGGGAGCAGTTTTGGAAGACTATTCTAATTATAATGGGAACATGATGTCTGGAACGTTTCTGCTGAAGTTTAAAATCTCCTCTCTGCCTTTTACTAATTATGGTACTGTGTCTCAGTTTTCTCATTTGTACAATGGAGAGAGCAATAGTTCTGCTTTATAGGATGAGCGTGAGGATCATACGAAGCATTTAGAGTTGGGCCCGGCACTAGGTGAGTCTCAACGAATGATAGGTAGTGTAATTATGAGGATGATTAAAAATGTCATTTATGTTATAAATTGACTGTGTCCACAGAAGTCATCAAACATTTATTACGTGAAACATGCCAAATGATGTTAAAACTAAAAGGACTAGAGTTAGTCATTCCTAGTAAACAATTTTTTAATAGTTTTACAAATGCTTCTGAATCATCAGATTTTCAAGAATGTAAAACAAATCCATTTCCATTGTTTTTTTCTGTAGACAGCTCTGGCTCTTGCTATTGCCCAGGAGCTGGGTAGTAAGGTCCCTTTCTGCCCAATGGTGGGGAGTGAAGTTTACTCTACAGAGATCAAGAAGACGGAAGTGCTGATGGAGAACTTCCGCAGGGCCATCGGTGAGTGTCATGTCTATGGGCCTAGGCGCTGAAGCCTGTTCATTGTGAAAATGTCTTTATGACTTGGGTTTGTTACACTGTTATTTTTCTTTTGGTACCATTAGCATTATGTTTGGGAAAAAACAAAACCCAACTTTTCTGATTGAATTACTTTAGCAATCAGAGCAAACGTGGACCCCAGCTATGGGGCGGCGGTTCTTCAAATAACAAACTAGATGTGGCTATAAAGTGACTTTTCAAACAAGTTATATTTTCCTGGCAGCTTATTAATGCATTTAGAGATGACTGTCCACTGAAGGAGCCCTGGTGGCACAGTGGTTAAGAGCTTGGCTCCTAAATGAAAGGTTGGTGGTTCAAACCTACCAGCTACTCCACAGGAGAAAGACGTGCGGTCTGCCTCCATAAAGATTACAGCCTTGGAAATCCTATGGGGCAATTCTACTCTGTTTTAAAGGATAGGTAGCGGATTTGGGTTTAGTCCACTGAAAAGGCTTAATTGTTGATTTTGTTTTTGTTATTGGTTTATGACCTTGGAGACCCTACATGTTACCGACTAGAACTGCTCCATAGCGTTTTCTTGGCTGTAATCTTTACAGAAGCAGATTGCCAGGCCTGTTTCTTCCATGGTGCCACTGGGTGGGTTTAAACTGCCAACCTTTTGGTTACCAGCTGAGTGCAAACCATTTGTACCAGCCAGGGATCTTCCACTAAAAGGTTTTGAACTCAAGCGGACAGCATTGTGTACAGTGCTGCCAGAATACCCCCACTCTCGGATGGCCCTAATTCCTACCTGGCCTCCTTACTCCTATCCTCACTGTCCTTACAGCCCGCTCTCCGCACCCTAGCCAGAGTGATTCTTTTAAAACCTAAATTAGAGTCTACTGACGCCTTGCATAAAACTGTCCAATGGCTTGTCTTTCTGCTTAGTGAAAGCCCTGAAGAATTAGGGCCTATAAGACTGCAGGGGGACTAGCAGAACTTTGAGGTCTTTGGTAGCAGCCTGATAGGGTCTGGAACTACTGTGTATTGAGTGCCTGCTATGTGACAGGCCCCTACGTTTGTTAAGGCCCTTAACTCCCTCAAGAGGAAGTTACTATCAAGCTGCATTTTGCATTGGTAGACAGTCTTAGAAAGTTAGGTAACTTGTTTACAGTGACTCAGCTAGTAAGTAGCAGAGCTGCAATTTGAACCTACAGCTGTTTGATTCCAGAGCCTATGCTCTGAAGAAGTGAGGAGAAAATGGCCTCCCTCCAGAATTTTTGTCTCTTGCCAACTTGGTCTCCTGGGCCAGCCTCCTAACCCAATTTATTGCTGCTCTACCTCTGGGCATATCTCAGTTCCCCTCAGATCTTCTTAAAGAAATAACTTCTTCATTCCTTTTAACTGTTGCATAATAGTTTAGGAAGCTATTTCCTTTTTTTTGGACTTTAGATTATTTTCCATTTTTTGCTCATAAGAACAAGGCTGTCGTGGACACCGTCATGCATGTCTTTCATTCGCATGCGCAAGTGTCCCTTTAGGGTGGATGACCAAGAGACAGATCACTGAGTCATGGTAATGAACGCTTTTTTTGTTTTTGCCGAAACTGATTTTCACAGTACCTGTACCAATTTATAATCTCTTTGGTTCTCAAACCAAGGTAAGTATTCCTAGGAAGACAGATCACTAGAAAACATTGAGGAAATGATGGAAGTTTAAGAAAGAATAGATTTGCTTAGCCCGGATTCCTTTCCTCAAGACTGCTAAAATCTAGTTTTAAGGGTAGGACCGTGTAAGGCTACAGGCCATGGTTAGGGCTTTCACTAAGTGGAGAGACAAGCCATCGGAGAGTTTTATGCAAGGTGTCAGTAGACTCTAATTTAGGTTTTAAAAGAATCACCCTGGCTAGGGTGTGGAGAGTGGCCTGTAAAGAGAGTGAAGGTAGGAGTAGGGAGGACAGTTAGGAGTTAGGGCCGGAGATAATGGCTAGGGCTAGGGTGGTAGTGGTGAGGTGATGGGAAGTGGTTGGATTCAGGATATATTTGGATGGTAGAGCTGACAGGATTTCGTGAAAGGTCAAGGATGTTTCCCAGGTTTTTACCATTTTCAGAGATGGGAAAGTGTGGGAAGGAGCAGGTTGGGTGTTTAGTAAATGTCTACTGGGGATACAGTGGGCAGTGTTTAGCTTCATATCTCCAGTTCCGAGCGCATAGTGGGTGCTCAGAAGTTTTTGCTGAATAAATGAGGGAAGAGAGTAGACTTGGAAGCAGGTAGAAAACAGAAGTCTTTAGCTAAGAAGAAAGGAAGCTCTCAGTCTGAGTGTGGCTAATAGATAATATTTTGCTTGGTTTGCACAGTGTTTTTTATAAATTTTGAATTAGTTGCCAGCATTTAGAAATTGGGAGATGACATATAAAGTCTTTATTTCTGGCATCTAGAAAGAAGCCTGCATTCCCACACGGGAGTGGCTGGTGGAAGCTAAGCAAGTGCAGTCCTTCTCAGAATGGCTTGCACTCTAGCTTGCCATGAGACTCATCTGCTGTTTTATTTCCTGCCAGGTCCCTGTAAGCATTGGAGTTTGTGATCTTGTTCTAAGCCAGAGAGATTGTGAGCTGTGTCAGTAGGCTACATTTTGTGTTACTTTAAATATGGACTTTTTAAAACTATAAAATATTTCTTACTGGAAATTTTTTTTTTTAATTGTACTTTAAGTGAAAGTTTACAATTCAAGTTAGTCTTTCATACAAAAATTTATACATACATTGTTATGTGACCCTAATTACTCTCCCTATACTGTGACAGCACATTCTTCCTTTCCACCCCTGATTTCCCATACTGGAAATATTTTTTATCATTAAACATTGGCGATTTTTTTTGTGCCTCTTTTAAATGGAACCATACATACAGAAAAATATGTAAAACATTTCTATAGTTTAATGATTAATCATTCAGTAAATGCTCATGTAACCACCACTCGGATCAAGGAACAGAATAGGGCCAGCACCCCGAAGTCACTCATGTGCCCCTCCCTAATCACAACCACTTCCTCCCTCAAGTGGTCCCCACGGTGTGTGGTAATTGTGTGGTAATGACTTGTATGATAATCATAACCTTGCTTTTCTTTAGTTGTACCACCCACGTGTATGTCCCTCAACAGTGTGGTTTAATTTTACCCTTTTTAACTTTATCTAAACTGAATCATACTTGTAAGATTCAGTCCATGTTATATGGAGTTCATTGCTTTAGTTTTTACACTGTAACTGGAATAAAAAGTGGAAATGGCTCATAGGACCCTCTTCAGGGCTTAAAATCTTTGAGTCCTTTTTTTCTAATTTAATGAGCATGTGCCAAAGATTTTATTTAACTCATTAATTAATGAGGTAAACAGTAAGATGTTACAACTGGTTCAGATTTCTGGGTACTAGTAAAACGATGGCGTCAGACCTCGTCTAACTTCAGGGAGGATAATGACCAGGATCAGCCCAAAGCTGATTCCTCTGAGGTGGAGGTCAGACATACCTCCACTCTTCAACCTTTTTACCAATTCTCACACCAGCTGACCTCCCCATAGTACTCTGTACTTCTCTGCTAGGTTCGATAATTCATTGCAGTGGTCTCACAGAACTCACAGACCATACTTACAGTTAAGTGATTTGTTAAGTAAGTAACAGGGTACAACTCAGGATCAGAATCAGGAAGCATGCAGGCAAAGTCTGGGAGGCTCTCCCAGAGGAGAGCACATCCCTGTCTTCTTCAGTGCAGGACAGCTCTCTCAGCTCCTCTTGGCCATGCAAGCAAGTGAGCCCTTCTCTCTGCCATGCACACCCCACTTAGCCATGCAGACCTCCTCTCAGCCCCCTAAGGACAGGCCTCTCTGCCTTCGCCTTCCTGCTGTCATCGTCTCCACTGCTAACGGACCCAGCTCATAGCCAGTGGAGCAGTTTTGTTGAGCTCTCTTAGCAGCATTCCTAGCAGCAGGTTTCTGCCATCACCACCGACTCTGCTACAGGGCCCCTTCCGGCCCTGTCATTTCTGGCTCTGCTGAAGGGCCCCTTCTGGGCTTCTTGCTGTTTTTAGTGCTATAGCTCTTGACCCGTGTTATAGCTCTTAGGAGGTTCCTTGCCTCCTCACTCTCTGCTTCTTCTCTCTTCTTTCTTCATTCTGCTTCTGCCTGTCAATCTCTGTGGGGTTGGCTGCATATATAAGCCAGTTCCGTCAATTTAAAGGCATAGCTGTCCCCCCGGGGCCAAGGACTGACCAATCCCCTCTTGTTAGGCCACAAGCATTTCTTTTCCATAGTAGGCTAGAGTCCCTTCATTTGCTTAAGTAATTGACCAGTCCCTACAAGGTGCATACCAATCACAGGGCAGGCCGTAGCCCAGGACCAGATGAAAAGTATCAAACCAAGTTGTGTACAGTTTACCCAGGAAATGTCAATCAACCTGGACAAAAGTGACAAACCCTGTAGGGTAGAATATTAGGACAAAGGTAACTCCTCAGGACTTAGGAGAAAACATTATTTTTCCAAAGAACCCAGACAAAAGGCCATATCCAAACCAACCAAACCCATTGCTGTCGAGTCGATTCTGACTCATAGTGACCCACAGGACAGAGTAGCACTACCTCCTACGGTTTCTAATGCTGTAAATCTTTATAGAAGCAGACTGCCACATCTTTCTCCTGTAAAGCGGCTGGTGAGTTCGAACCGCCAACCTTTTGATTAGCAGCTGAGCGCTTAACCTCTGTGCCACCAGGGCTCCTTAAAAGGCCGCATAAAGGAGCTCATTTCACCACAGTACTTTTAAAATGTATTGTTATTTATTTAAAAACTGTTTTCCTGACATAGGTAAAAATCTGACAATTCTGGTCTTCATAGGCGGGCATGTGTTGGGTTGCTTAAATGTAACTTAAATGCTTTAAAGCAATAGAGAGAAATTTCCTTGGCATCTGTTTTGTGATTTGCCATTTTTTGAGAGAAGGGGGAGTGCAATTCCTTTGATGGCAGCAAGGTGAAGAGAAAA